GGCCCTATTTGTTTTTTTTTTTGTTTTATTTTTAAAAATTATTTGGTAATAAAGTTTTTAAAATTATTTTAAAAAAATAAAATAAAAATTTGTTTGGTTATATTAATTTAAATATAAAATGATGGTGATGATTATAGGAGGTTAATAATGGTGATCTATGATAAAAATTGATCAACATAATTATAATTTTCAATAATTAAATATAGTGTATTTCAAAAATAAGAAAAATAAAATGAAAACAACTTTAAAGTTTTTTTTATTTTTTGTTTTTAAAAATAAAAAAATATAAAATTTTTTGCAAAAAAAAATAGAAAACGCTTACCCAAACAAGTTTTTACATTTTTCTGTTTAATCAAATAAAAAATAGTTTTTAAAAATAAAAAAAACAGGTTCTAAATATCAGTTAATCTAATTACTTAAAACATCGAACGTACAAGTGTGCGATTTAATACCCCCCAGGCTGCTACTTCAATAATCAATGCTTTCTTAGTAATTGTTCTTCACAAAACAATAAAAATGAGGCCATAGACTTTGAATCTCAAAGATAACCATAGGATTTCAAGCTTCTTTACTTTAATTTATTTGGATGTGAAGATGCAAAGAGATTAAAATAAAAGAATTTTTTATTAATAGAAATATAAAGTACAGAGTTGTGTTGATTACAGCTTAAAAACTAAAAATAAATCTAAGCTTAAATTGAGAATATAAGATAAATAACTTTGAAAGGAAAATAGGTTTTGGCGTATTTTTCTTTGGTGATGATAGTGATGATGATGGTGTCCTTGATGGTTTGTTTGAACTCCTTTCAAAAGCACTCGTTTGAGACTGTTATGCCTGAAAAATTTGGAGGCAGTGTGTAAAATATCTTTGATTACTTAGCACAACCTCGCGAGATTTGTGGCACATTAGATAATGCTCTCATGCTCACTCAACAGTCTCCTCTATCCAATTACTCTGAGTCTTAAGGGCCACATTGAGTATGTGCATGGTATAACTCTTTCTGATAATGAATCAAGCTTTTATTGTTATTTGGACTTGTCATTTCAATTTTCCTCCCTTTCTGTGATTTTAGACTCAGAGTAATCAATGGCAAAAGACAGATAATGATTATTCATTATTGAATTAAAATTTAAAAATATATACTCTTATATATATATATATATTGAGAAAATCCTTACAAACATTTTAATTATTCTAAAGTCTCACTAAAGTACAATGATAATTTAAGTCAAATTCAAAAAAAAAATAAAAAATTTAGGACAAGGTTTAGTAAAATAAAGTTTTTTTTTATGTTCGAAGTTGAAATAGGCTAAAAAAGAATTCCCTTAAAAAAATCTTAAATATCATTCTCCTATTTCAATATTTCAATATTTGAAAAATTAGACCAAATCACCCAATTCGACTAATTGGACCAATGACCTTATTGTGCTTAAGGAATTTGAACAATTTTTATTGGGATAATCTAATATAAGGCCTTAAAAAAATAATTGCTCTTAAGGTTCAATAGATTCTAAAAATGTTTTGTAAGCCTAAAAGTCTCATTTGTAATTGATTTTGAAGGCCAAAAGACTAAATTAGCCTTGATCAGGAAAACAAAACACATCATGTGAGAATCTGCTTCATGAGCCCACAAAAATTTTCTCCATCATTTAATCTCCTCTTGATCTTGCCAGATCTCAGTCTGGAAAGTTTCTTCATGTACTTTTACCGTTGCCATGGGTTATGATTCCCGGACAGATGATTACAAGGTTTTAAGGATGTGGACGACGACGGAATATGGTGATTGACGCGATATAAATGGTGTGGAGGAGTATTCTTGGAGCACTACTTCTTGGACACGACTATTCGTTCACAGCTTCTTCTTGGACTCATATAATCACAGCCTATTATAACAAAAATAGGGGTTACTATTTTGGGAACAACTTGGCGATGGATGATAGAGTAAAGCCATAATTTAGTAAGGCTTCATGGATTGCGTTAATTAGAAGCCAATTCAAGCTTTGTTGGGCGAAAAATGCAGTTTGCCTTCTTTGCTTTCTAGACTCTGGTTCGCAGCATTTTGAGCAAAGAGAGGCAATGAGATCAAGTACAGGCCGTAACAATACGAGTCAATTTTTTTTTTTTTACCAGCAACAATACGAGTCTAATTAGTCACAGTAAAATGTCCATGTATTCACAAGAGCCTGCAAAAGTTTATGCTTGAATAGGAAAAAAAAAACAAGTTAATCAAAGAAAATTAACAACATAAAGTACATAAATAACAAAAAAAAAGTCCAATTATTTACAACAAAAAATCCATACAAGTAATACATTTTTGAAAATAATATGTATAAATTTTGTATAAATGTATAAATTAGTTTATGCAAAATTTATATAAAATGTAATTGGCTATGATCACATGTTCTGACTAAAGAAAAATGGCATTGCTATGAAAAATTGGATTGCATGTTGTGCAAATGGTGATGTTGTCATGTTAAAATTGAATATTTAGTTGTAAACTCTGAAAATTTACTATGATTTGGTATTTGATACGATCTAGTTTGTTTGTTGAACTTTAAATTGATAATGAATGTTTTGAAGTGAATTATTTATTGAACTCCAAGTTGATAGTAGATGTTTTGAGGTGGATTATTTATGATAAAGTCATGATGATTTTTTATTCATATTGGATGTTTACATATAAATTGAAAAATTCATGACCTATCTATTATCATGCCAATGCCCTATCAGAAACATTAGATTATGTATTGTGAAAATATGAACGTTGGCTTATTTATATTAAATGTTTAGTTGTAGAAAATAAAACATTGGGTTTTTATATGTAGACGTTTTCTTAAATTAACTTGTTTGTTGCAAATTCATACAAGAAATAGATTATTTTGATAATCGTTTCCCTAGTTTGAACCTTGCCAACACGAACTTGTCAATTTCAAACCTTTGCTTGTGAATATATAGACTTTTTCTTGTTAATATAAATCTAGACTTGTCAATATGTGAACTTATAACTGGCATAATCTAAGTAATTATAACAGAACATCTGTAAATAAAATGATAAAATCTGTATATTGATAATATCAGATCTATACTTTATACATTACTATGTAGTTTATTAGCTCAAGAATAATTTACAATTTACGTGAGTGAAATTTATAACAAAATATTCATAAATAAAATTAAAATATTCATATATTAACAATACAATGTTGTTAATAACATGGATTAGTAGGACTAGAATATACAAATTATTGTGGTGAAATTTATAATAGAACATTTGTAAATGACATGACAAAGTTTATATATTAATAACACAGTCTATCTATATGAAATTTTTGAACATATGAATAAATTAAATGCAAAATTTGTACAACATAATAAATTTCATAAATAACAACATGTTTTTGTTGAGTTAACAAGAACATGCACATCAAATCTAACTAATTTCATGTTGTTACTGGATTTTCTATTAAAAAAAGTACCAACATAAAATTTAAAATCACATTCTACTGTTCGAGAGGAAACCTTCCATACCCTTGAAAAAAAGTTTTCAATTTTTTTCATTTCACTAACTGCAGAAAGCCATTCAGATAGAATTCCATGGTCACATAGTCACATCTGCAAGCATCTTCAACCGCTTGACTACATCTCCAACCTTGTCAAAAGGGTGTTGTATGAGGTGGCTTCAACTACAGCATCCAATTTCATTACATCATGTAAATAATTCCAAGTAAGCTGAGTCTTTTGCTTCCCGTGTAGCTTGGTTATGTGATTGTGTGCAGGTGGCAAAGCATGGTAGTGGTGGAAAATAGCAGGGGATGAAGCTGATTACAATTTCACTCATTTTCAGGTGCCAAATTTTTTGTTACAATAACAAAACCAATTCATGAATCAAGTTTAAGTTATAATATAGAATAGATAACCAAGTTTAATGCTCAATGTTGATAAATTCCACGAGGATCAAGCCTTCGTGTCACAAGGTCTCATAATCATAGACTAGAAAAAATGGAAGAGTCAGAGAGAAAGTGAGCAGGAGGTAACTTACCAATGAAGGTACGGTGGATGATATAGCCGCAACAAATGTTACTGATGACCTTTTTACAAGACAACTCCGAGGATATTCATAATGGATTTGGACGGATATGTGACAGCGCAAGCAGCAGCAACTTGATAGGCAACACATGCACGACTTTAGCTAAGACATCAACCCATAAAAGGATGCAGCACGAAATGGAGACTTGATGGCTAGAGTCGCAACAACTTGAACAACGCCTTCCAGAATGGCTGGAGAGATGGGAACTAAACATCTGGAATGGCTGGAGGCTCGAAATGAAGAGTGAAGTTGAACTGGAGTCGACCTCTCTCTATAGCATACCCCACTGACTCTCTGATAGCACGTTCTTCTCCTCCTCCTTTCACGCTCGGCGATTTCTATTTTTTAGAACAAGGGTACTTTAGTCATTTGATGTTCACAATTAAATTATAGTTCAATCCTTTGGACTTGTAGGGAAAAAAAAATCAGATTTAATTGAGCCTTGTATGTAATTTAGTTGCTTCAGAGTGCCTCGATTGAGATTCTTAACTTTTATTTTCACGAAGATTGGCACCCTAGGTCATGATTTTTTTTCGTGAAATTACATCTCAGCGCCAACGTGGGTCACGAGCTTTAGCTTTCTCAAAACCAATACCAATACTACGAATATGGCATGCCAACTTCCAAATCATACAGAGGCCACGCGGCCTTATTCATGATGTGGACTTGTACTGTATGTGGCTTCGCTTCACTGTTTGAGCTTGTCCATAATATGCTTCCCTTTCACTGATTTTTTATTATATTTCTCTGCTATTTATCTGTATCTTTTAAAAAGTTTGATCTCCGCAATTTAACTTAAATATGCCTTAAAACATTGCCCTATGTTTAATAGTTTGTAAATTTAATAATATTCGGTTTTTACGGTCCGACCGTTGAGGGAAAATCCTATCAAAATTGAAATAAACCCTTCGTATCTATCGGAAGTTACTCAACCCCCAGATATTCGAGAGAGACTATTCCGGAAACAAGCTGTAAAGTCCAGTCTAGAACTTTCGCACTTTCTCTAAAATCCTTCGGATCCTTCTCCACTCTTCGCCTTCTTCTCGCTTCTTCTTTCTATAAATTCGAATTCTCATCTTTCTTTCTCTCATCAGACTGAGAACCCTAGCAATTCAATCTTCATTGAATCGCTTCTCAATGGCTGCTCAATCAGTGTCTTTGTCATCTTGTTCACCTCTTGTATCCCACAGGGCAGGGCCGTCTTTCATTAAGCCCCTTTTGGCAAACTTCCCTTCGACAGCGAAGAAGCCTTTGCCTCGCTTGGGAATGGTGAGGGTTCAGGCCTCTCATGATAACAAAGACACTTCTGTGGACGTTCACTTTAACAAGGACAATCAAGGTCAACAACAAACCTCTGTGGAGAGGAGGCCTCGCAGAATGGCCATGGATATTTCTCCCTTTGGTACGTCTCTTTCTCCTTCCTTAATTGTTCATGTCTTGTTTTGTTTCGAAGTTTATTCTCATGTATGCCGTAGCGCTGGTGCATCCTTCCACAGAAACTTCGCCTCATTTGTTGTAGAATGGTTTGGATATTTAAGTACCTATGATCCTTGTCCACCGTGATTATAAACTATAAATTGTTCAATCGCTCGAAGTAATACATTGATAAGATTATTCTCTGATAAGGGTGCCATTCTTCCACTGTGTGGAACTTCAAATGAATTGCTGACACTGACTGCTACTGTTACCCTGCCCCTTTGCTCTACTATTTTTTGTTGCAATTTTATTTAGTTTAAAAAATATTGCAGCCATGGATATTTCTCCCTTTGGTACGTCTCTTTCTCCTTCCTTAATTGTTCATGTCTTGTTTTGTTTCGAAGTTTATTCTCATGTATGCCGTAGCGCTGGTGCATCCTTCCACAGAAACTTCGCCTCATTTGTTGTAGAATGGTTTGGATATTTAAGTACCTATGATCCTTGTCCACCGTGATTATAAACTATAAATTGTTCAATCGCTCGAAGTAATACATTGATAAGATTATTCTCTGATAAGGGTGCCATTCTTCCACTGTGTGGAACTTCAAATGAATTGCTGACACTGACTGCTACTGTTACCCTGCCCCCTTTGCTCTACTATTTTTTGTTGCAATTTTATTTAGTTTAAAAAATATTGCTTCGCTCAAGCCATGAGTTTCCTTAGAAACCAAGTTTGGAATCAATAAAGAAAAGAAGAATGGAAAGAATATATAATACGAGTTAAAAAGTTGTTGATTTTTTGCTATGCTATTGTCTGTTAAATTCCTATGGACGCGTTTACCTTTAACTTGAGAATCAAGTAGCGCCCACTTTAGTCTGATTTTTCATTATCTATTCTTGGGGTACTCTTAAGTGGATAAAATGATCAATCGGAGATGCGTGAGTTCTCTGGGTGAAATAATAGAAAAACTTAACTATGTCAATTTGAATCCTCCCAAACATAAAACCTAATTCAGAAAACGAACTAAAATTTTTTAACTTTTCCGGAGAACCTAACTAAAGCCATTAGTTCTCACTGTTTTAACTGAAAACTGAAGCTTTTTGTTTTTCCGATCCTTGCTTTCTAAATTAAGTCGAATTGTTGTGCAGAGCATCTTATTGGTTTTGGTTCTTGACCCACGACAGGTTTATTGGATCCATGGTCACCCATGAGAAGCATGCGCCAGATGATGGACACTATGGACAGAATATTCGAAGACGCCATGACAATCCCAGGAAGAAGCAGGGGAGGTGAAGTACGATCCCCATGGGACATCAAAGAGGAAGAAAACGAGATCAAGATGAGGTTCGACATGCCTGGTCTTTCCAAGGAGGATGTTAAGGTTTCAGTGGAGGACGATGTTCTTGTCATCAAAGGTGGTCATAAAAAGGAAGAAGGAGGAGATGATTCCTGGTCCTCCCGGAGTTATAGCTCCTACGATACTCGCCTCCAGCTTCCTGATAACTGCGAGAAGGACAAGGTTAAGGCAGAGTTGAAGGATGGTGTGCTTTACATTACCGTCCCTAAGACCAAAGTTGAACGCAAGGTCATCGACGTGCAAATTGAGTGAGATCTAAATCTGTAGTATTTTGCAGTGTTTTTGAGTGTGTGTGTGTGTCCCCCCCCCCCCCCTTCAATTTCCAATATGCATGTCATGTAATATAATGATATAACATTGTCTCTTTCTTAAAAACTCCTAGTCAACTACGCTGGAAGAGGTCAAGCTTAGCTTATGCAAGAAGTGTTATAGAGCAACAATCATAACATTAAAAATCGAAGGATGCCGTATCGAATGAATGACAGGCATAAATTCATAATCATCAACGATCGAAGGATGCCGTATCAAGTGGGACGACATTTTCCTGAGCTCAACATTGTCTTTGCTCTTTAGAACATCAAAATGATGATAAATTTTCATGAGATGTGAATAACTATCCTATTTTTCAACTGTTTTTTCTCTTTTTGCCAAGGAGCAATTACCATTCATCTCTTGAATCTTGATGGCTGAAAACTTCGACACGGATAAATTGCATGTGAAAGTAGCTAGTACAAATCTATGAAAGCCGACCTTATCTGAACTCCTTATTTATAGTTTATGGAAATTTTTTGTCTGTTTTTTTCCTTCCTTCCTTTTTCCATTTAAATTACATCAACGGCCATGGAAGCTTAGAGGGTACAACCCAAAATTACAGATAAAAAGGAAGAGGAAATTAACAAAAAGGTTAAAAGAGGAAAAGAAAGTATATTATATGGGGTTCATTTAAGGCCTCGAAGTTACTCGTTTCTTTCATATGTGGAGTGCATTTTAGGCTGCAGTTATTTGGCAGACCAAAAGTACTGTCATACACTTGGGATAGTACATCCTCAAGGATATCTACTTTGACACAAGGATTTCAAGCTGCTTCCATGTTATAGCAAGTTCGAACGTCAATTCCCTGTCTCTAGGAAGAAACATTTGGAGGGGGGCTAGACTAAGAGCCAGGCAAGTAATACGATCTTCCAGCTCTCAATTCATAGTCGGTTCTCTGTTATTGTATTGTTCAGAGTTTGTGGCCGAGTTTTTAATTTTAAACATCCATTTAACGAAGAAGTAAGTCTGCATGTAATGGAAATAGCGGAGTTTAATATAACTGGGTTCCGAATTTGCCATTTTCTTTTTCTTCTGAGCATTTTATTCAGCCAGTTAGAAGATATAAAACGCAACTCAGAACGAAACGAGAAGGATAAAACAGAGCAGCAGGTATAGCGTATTAATTGGGACATGAAATGAAAATTCTCCCTTCCCATCATCTGTTATCGTTAAAAACAACAACGCACAACTACATATGAAAACCGCCAGTACAAAACGAGTGGCAAAATGAAAATCGACCTTAGCTTCCTATTTATCATAGAGTTTATGCTAAGGCTTACGTTTTCCTTATCCTTCTTTCTTTTCCTCCTTTTAACTACAACGACGACCATGTCAGCTCGGGAGAACAGACCAAAATCACAGAAACAGAGAAAGGAAGAAAGAAAAGAAAACGTTAAGCAGCAAGAAGAGAAAACACAAGAAAAGACATATTTATACATGTTACTCGTTCACTTCAGGAATGGAGTCCAGTTTGGGCTTCCAATTGCTTGGCAGGTTAAAAGTCTTATCATGCACCTGGGACAGTACATCCTGTAAGGAGATCTGCTTGGACACTAGCATTTCTAGTTGTTTCTTTGTTATAACAACTTTGACCCTCTTACCCCCACTAGTCGGCTCTCTGTTTCCGGTGGAAGAAACACTCGGAGGAGGACGAGACGGAGAGCTAAGCAAGTAATACAATCGACCAGCTCTCAATTCATAGTCTCGACAAAGATGCTCTGACTCCGACGCTTCCTTAGATGCCCCAAGATGAAACTCCGGAAAGTTGTTCAACACTTCCTTGACGAGAACTGGTGAGCTAAACTCCAGTATCTTCCCATCCAACTTCGCTACCCTTACTACTTTACTCTGCTTCGCCAACGCACCCACTATGGCTAGTCCTGAGTTGAATTCACAACGACCACAACAATTACCCATTTTTGAGTAATTAGATAGACAGGGTTAAGGGCAGAAAATGGACTGGCATAAGATGTGTTTATTGAGTGTGAGAGAAACAGAGAAAGCAGGGGAAACAGAGGAAGGCTGAGTTTTGAAGGGAGAGCGAGAGAGGTATGTAAGGAAACGAGAGCGTTGAATAATTTAAGAGGGGTTTGTTTTCGTGTGGAGTGCAGTAGAAAGCAGTCATTTCATTGTGTAGAAAGAGGAAGGGAATGAAACACACACACATATAAAGAAACAAATTTGTGGGGTTGGGGTATGAAAAAAGAACTGAAAGATTTGTCAACACGCATGCTACAGGGTTGGCTAGTGGAAGCAGCGCAACTGCAATAGCTTATAAATCTAAACGTATAGTTGTATCGTCATAGGCATCTTTTGAACTTCGTTGTGGGACATGTGTCTTTGTTTCGAAGGGTAGGCTCTGAGGCGTATCTTTTGGGCCACACAACCTTGTTCCATTTTCTGGGACGTAGGGAATATCAGCTTCCTCTTGGTAAATGTTAGAGAGATATTTTTGTACCTTGCTTCCTTTCATGTATGAAATATCTTGTGGATTTTATTTTAAGGTTTGTCTGATGCATATGATATGGTTCTGGCGAATTGTGGTATCTAATCTGAGGTGCGACTTCCATTTATGATTTTTCATATACTTTTGTCAGTTTAGAACATATTAGTTAGGCATTGTCAAGTGTCAACTGCTATTTGGTTGGTTCCACACAAAGTTTATGCTTGCATGTCATCAAGTTAATAGTGGAATAGATGGATCATAAATTTAAAGGAAAATAATTATAACAAGACTCTTCCAAATTTCCAATCTGCAAATATAAACGAGTGTAATTCCTAGCACTGCAATATTTGGAGTGTCATTAGGAAAAATCAAGATCAAAATATTGTAACAAGTCAGATATTTCAATCCTTTTCTTCTCCTGAGATTCAACCTATCGTAAAGTGTACGTATGATAGATTTATATGGACAGAAAAAAATAAAATAAATAAACAAAGACGTTTCACTATCGTTCACTGGTAAATGGTCATATAGTAATAGTTAATAAACCAAGAAGCAAGTCTATTTGCTTCCAAATGCTTTAAGGTAAGACTTGGGGTCCAAGCTAAGAATGCAATTATCACACTTGGAAAAAAGATCAGACAAGGATCTTCAAAATCCACAAAGGCTCCTTTTGGTTATATGTTTAATCATCTTGTTGACCTATAGGTCGTCTTTTTCTATATATATATATATATATATATATTAAATTTCACATCAAAACGGACCTAACCCTCAACTAGTTTTAAAGTACTGATTTATACTTGTGGCCCGGATTAAATTTCAATACTCTATGGGGTTTAGAATGCTTGTCTGCTTTTCCACAATGAACTAGGTGCAAGAACAGTTTTTTAAATCTTCCATAGTCATCTAGTGAGTGTCCCAATTAACTTACGTCCTTTTTTTAGTTCTAAGTAAAAATGATTTAATGAGTCATAAATAAAGCTATCAACTTTGGATTTAAGAGTCATCTGGGAAAAAACTTTGCAAAGGAGTTAAATGTTATACTATCTGAGAATGAAAAGGCATAGAGACTGGAGAGAATCATTTAAAAAGTAAAAAAAGAAAAAAAAAGAAAAAGAAAAGGATAACGTGTTTGAAATTGATGATAAGAGAAAAGGAAAAAACATATTTACTCAGTTACAGTTATAAGGACAATGTGTAGTGAAAGGGGGCCAGACATGTCCATTAAAATAAGTAACAGTTGTGCCTGTCTGAGTCAAAACACAACAGCCTCTTTTGTTTTGATGTGAGGAAAAAAGAACAATAGAAATGGAGAATTTGGATTTGGTACAGAAGTTTTAAATTTACTGCACCAAACTTAGATGCTTCTCCAACTTAGCATCGACTATTGTACGGATATTAAATTGTTATTAAAAAAGTCTGAAGGGCTAAAGGCCTTTGTGAGGAACAATTCAACAAGGTAGCTTCTGTTATATTTCCTTGCTGTCGTTTGCAGAGACAGGGTCATTAGATTAGAGTGACATTTGATTACAATGCTAATGGCCCAAATGAAAAAATCTCTTTACAGTGGCTTGCCATTTGCTAACTGACGGGCTGGGGTAGGCTTATCACTATCAATTGGGATGTTTTGGAAAAACATTTCCCAAAAACAAATCTCGGTTGTATCAGAGCCTAACTACAACAAACATCGAATGATATAAAACGACAAAGAAAAAAAAAAAGGAATATGCAGATTAAAAGCTCTTTGGTCTTGTTACGGAAGTTAGACAAGCCATCTGCTTTTTCTTCCCAAAATCACATATATTTCTCAAAGAGTAAATTACAATATAAGAGAATTTTTATCCAACCAACCGGTATAATTTCTAGTAAAAGGAGTTATATCTATTTAAATATCCGGTTTTAGGTTCAGGTTCGTGTGCATACAAAACATATCTTTGAAAGGGTCACTTTTGATAAAACTTGACAATGTTCGAATTTAATGCAGTCAAATAGCCATATAAAATCACAAAAATTCTCCTTTTTACATAAGCCTTGTCTAGATTTCTCCTGAAACAAAAAGAAATCATTCAAATATTTTTAAAGAGAAAATTATTACTTCTTTCATTACATGAGGAGAGTTACCACACAACTGCCTTCGCCACCTAACATGTGCTTCTTTTAGTTTCATCAAAGTAACACAACTAACCTCTATATTTTTGTTTCATATTCGTAAAATTCATACGATTTTAAAATAGAGATAGATCTAAATAAAAATAAAACGTTCCTGAAAATTTTTGTGGGTTAAAATGGATTTTTTCTTGTATTTTCTTTCCAAGAACTCTAGGCACTCTATAATAATAAGTGATTTTTTTAATTATTTTTTAGATAAAGCAAAAATTCTCCTCAATTCTCAATCCATTAACTCTACCATTTTTTTTGTTAATATGGCATGTCATTTGGTGCTAGTTTATTCCTAATCTCTTTTTTTAAAAGTGTTGGACACTTTAAAATTTTGTTAAAATAAAATTTAATAAATATTATTAAAATATTTAATATTTATTAAAAATCATCTTTTAAAAAATTAAAATTGATTAAGTCTCTTAAATTTTTTAAGTCATTTTTGTAGTTTTTTTAATCAACTAACAGTTGAAATAATGAATATTTAAAATTGAAGTGTCACTTATTTTCAGTTGATATTTTCATGTAGTACAATATGCTTTCAATGTTGAAGGAGAAAAATGAGTTGCAAATTCAACAAAACAATATTAATTTTATTCATTTATTTGGACATTAATTCCCTCATTTTTAATATAAAGTTGAAAAATATTAAAATCTTAAATTTAGGTGGTGCAATATTTTGGAGAAAGCCTGTTAATTGATTAAAAAAATTACAAAGAATGACCTAAGATGTTTAAAGGACTTAATCATTATTAATTTTCTTATAAGATCATTTTTTATAATTTATTTACAAATATTATTTTTATTATTATTAGAGTTAAAGTACATTTTATCACCTGCACTTTTTTCAAGAAATACTAGGTACTCTATATTAATAAATGATGCATTTTTTTCTTAAATTATTTCTAGAAGGGCAAAAATCCTCTCATTAGTGGATTGTTAATGAAGGGGAATTTTTCTCCTTCAGAAAGCTCTTTAAAAAAAATACTTTATTTATTAATACATAATGTTCAATACTTGTCGAAACAAAGTATAAGATAAAAAAGCACTTTAATTGGTTTTTTTTTTTTTTTCGTGGTGGAATGAAGTTCTTTGAATTGAACAATTTCCAGACCCAAAAGAAGGTATAAAGCAGCTTTGATTTGTGGATAATGGATTGATGCTTGTTGGCCCAAACGAAAAGGATCAAGGCACGAGGCTCTATTTATAGTATGGGCCCATCATATTCATATCCAACACAACCGAATCATCCACTTCCATTTAGATTGTAATTTGGGTCTAACAACGCAAACCCTGCTTTCATAACATTCAAGTGAAAAAAATAATAAGTTAAATTTTCCAAAGATATTATTGTCAGCGTGGCGACATGATGCACGACACAAGTTGTTCATATCGATGATTGTGCTTCACCGTCTAAACAAAGAAAAAGATCTAAATCCCACACCTTGGCTTTTTTGGAATGCTCCAGTCACCATCTTTTCATTTATTTCGTATTTTCTTAATATTTGTTGATGCTGTGTTGAATGTGTTTCTCACATATAAATATAATGATGTTTAGGCAGAAAAGAAAACATTAGTCCCCACGATTGAATCAAACTGTAGTAAACTTTATCATAGGAATTGAGACATGCAGTACTCATTTGTCTCTTTTCATCTCTAAAAAGTAGTTCCCAACACCGTCCCTATACGCATTATTGCTTCTGCCACATTCCCCATACTTCAATATATTAGATTTCCTTCGATTATACTTCCAAGTTTATCATTTTGGATTTCTAAAATAAGGGAAAACAAGATAGCACTTCAAATTTTACTAATAAACCACCATTTATAGCATAGAAATATTAGACCTGTATCAATAACACGGACAAAAGTCGCAAAACAATTGATGATTATCGAATCACGCATTGAATTTAAGACCCTATTTATCAGATATTGATTCTAGTAAATAAGGCTATAACTATTTAAATATAAAGTTTTGAGTTTGAGTTTATTTAAATTCAGAAAATATTTTTGAAAAATTTATTTCTGATTAAATTTAACAATGTAAAAAAAAAATCTAAGACCCTTCCTCAGGACTCCTAAGTTCCAACCACAAAATTTAAGAAGAAAAATTTATTATGTGAATAGATGTCTCAACAAAGCTTTAGTTTATTTCATAGAGACCCATTCCATCCATCTTCGTGTATTTTTTGACCATACACAGAATCTTACCTATTTTGTTCCTTCTTCTTCCCTCCCCTCTCTCTTTCGACATTGTTTTCCCTTGACAAATTGTCCAACTATTTTATGTTTCTTTTTTCTTTTTTAAATCCATGTTAAGATCATTGTACGATGATGTTTTTGCCCCCTCTCCGTCGGCATCTATTTATTCAAAGAAAATCGAACTGAATATCTGAGAACCTCTAAAAAGAGACAAAGACACGGACACATAACTAACTAGTGTGAGTAAGCAACAACTAGATTGCCCCCACGTTCTCGTGTTTTATAACATGGAAGATTCAGATTTAAGATTACGATGAACATGTCGGTCGCAAAAGCCGGAAACGGGGTGGTCAATGGATTTAAGATTTTTTTTTTTTGGGGGTCCAAAGAAACGTCCCGAATTGTGTCTAAATCAATGTTGGACACGCTAAAGCATACCAAATTTCCATATAATAATGGAATGGAAAACGAAGTGAAAATATTTGATGAATTAAAAAATTAATAATTGATGCAACAGAGGAAGGAAGGCAGAAAGTTGAATACAGCGAGGCACCTACATTTGGACCCATTCATACTTTGGAAAGTTTTGATATGGGCTCTGATAAAAAAGGCAACGCGGATAATCAAGATTTTCCTTCATTTTTTAATTCATTTTTCAATTATTTTCATTTATGTTTTCCTTACTTGCTCTTGTCCTTTTGCCTTCTTGCAAAGTTGCTCTTCTGCATCGTGCTACGCGTAAATAATTGGGTTTTTAATGATATTTATTTTTTCTGTTAACCCTTTTCTTTCTCTTTCTCTGTTTCACTGCTTTTCGCCTCTTATATTTTTTTCCCCCTACCCTTTACTGTTGATTATCAGGTTTTCTAGTCAAGGGAATCTTTTTTGCAGAATCTGGGGAATTATCAAAACTGAAATCGAGTGGTTTTCTTTGGCAGAAAAGACCTAGATGCACAAGAGCAAGATTGCATGTTGATGGCAGATAGAGAAACCTTGTGGGGTTGATTTGGATTGGTCCCTTCCCTATTCATATGCCTTAGAGCCAACCAAAAGCTTCTGACTTTCCATTTGTTACTCTTGTTGCTCTGTGTTTTCTGGATCCTATCAGGTTGTTTCCAGGGTTCTGTGAATCGAAACCACATGTCACAGCAGAGGCAAACTAGGATGATGAGTTCAAGCAATGCAAAAGGAGCTGGCGACACCACGTACACCAAGATCTTCGTGGGAGGGTTGGCTTGGGAGACTAAGAGAGACTCTCTGAAACGCTATTTTGAGCAGTTTGGAGAGATCTCAGAGGCTGTTGTTATCACTGACAGAAACACCGGAGCATCAAAAGGCTATGGCTTTGTAAGCCTATTGGCTATTATAACTTTCTCTGCCTCTTTATGATCATCTTTCATTCAATTTTTCCGCGTGTTTCTGTTGCTCTTTCAGGTGACTTTTAAGGAGCCTGACTCTGCAATAAGAGCTTGTCAGAATCCCTACCCTTTGATTGATGGAAGGAGGGCTAATTGTAATCTTGCAGCTCTTGGTGCACGGAAATTCAACCCATCTACCACAGGTTCACTTCACTTGTTGCTTTCTCTTTCAATTATATATAGTTCTGTGATATTGACATGTTTTCTTCTACAGCAAAACATGTTTATTAATGGCTGATAAGCTTGCTTCTCCAATCTCAAAAGTTGCAGGAGCTGAGAAATTCAACAACAATTCATGGGCCATGGTGCCAATCCCATTTCAAGGCACCTCTTCATATTACAACCAGCACGTGCCTCATCACACTTTTCCCTTTCCACCACCCTACAGGTATACACAATTTATACATGCCATTCAAAGTTCAAGCTGTTATTTTTCCCGAAGTTGTCTGCTCCTTACTATATCTGTATACTTTGTATCAACTTTTTCTTCAACATTATTCAGGTATCCTGGTTATCCTCCCTCACAAGAAATCTATGCAATGGTTAGTTAGCTCCAAATACATAAATAGTTAAAAATTTATCTTATCCCCTGAATTGCCAAAGCTAATCTCAATCCACAGGCGTCCTTTCCATCCCCCATTCTTGAATCACTTGACAGCCTGCTGATCTGATTTCTTTTTTTTGTGCAGAACTACTACAACGTTTATGGAGGGCAACAGCTTCCATTTCGATGGCGTCCGGCAATGTACCAACCATATTATGGGCTAAGTAATTCAATGCGATTGCCAGCAGAAGCAATGGGGAAAAAGACACAGTACTCTGATATGCCACCCCAGGAAATGTTGGCAGTTGTTGGAGTGCCACCACCAGAACCTATCTCAGTTTCTCCTTCAATACCCACCTCTGGTTCTGTATCTGGTTAATGAAGTCCCCTTCTGTTTGTTGTCATGATTATGTTTTGCCTAATCTGCATGAATGAAATGATGATGCAGGATTAGTCACCGGCACAGCACCAGTTTCTGGTTCTGCAGCAGCCGCCAAAATAGGAGCCTCCCCTGAACACAAGTCTTCAGCTTAGACCAGTGAGAACAGGTTCCATCAAATCATATAGCTTGAGACGCGCTTTTTTCATCTTTTCTCTCCATTGCCTTGATATTTTCTTGTTTTAAGAATCTGGATTCGCAGGGATCATTCTTCAATTTTATATTTTCTCGTATAGGATTAGCTTACTGTTAGGTTACACCGTTACAGTTCGAAAAATATTGCATCTTTTACCTTTTTTTGGGTTCCTATATCTGTTTTGCATTTTATAGGTTACTTATTCTAGATCCAATTTTGAGTTTAGTAATTTTCTGTATCCAACAATTACGTCAGGACTGAAAATAATATATTTCTATTAACAGTTTGGGCCATTTTTGCTATGGGTTATCAGAGCTCAATTTTCTTGTGTTTGATTTTAAAGTTTTAGTTTTTTTTCCCCTATAGAATCGCAGTATTTATAAACTAATTATTGAAAATTATCTTAATTGTACATTCTTGTTCTGTTAAAATAAAAAAATTCTAATATGGGCAGTTGAAATTCACATTTGAACGATTCATAGGCCCAAAAACAAAATGAACAATACATACGACACGACTGTATGATACTTATTTCTTGAATCCTATTTTAAATTTCAGAGATTATGGTTGAAATAGTGAATACTAGAGAATTTCGTTTCTTTGATCAATTTTTTTTAAAAAAAAAAAACAGCATAAAATGGTGGCTTGTTTGGCAACCGGTTGTAGGAACAACTTTCTATTCTCCAAAAAAGAAAATCTATTTGGTAAAACCAAAAAAATATTATTCTAGAAAAAAAATAAAATCTTTTAGGTATTTTAGGATCATTATTCTAAAAAATAACAATAAGAGAGTGTGAAAACACATATTTTCATTGTTTTTTTTCCTTATAGCATGTTTTACAGAAAATTAGTTCTCAAAAAAGTTTCAAACAAGCCTCTATATTGCCCGAATTTGGTTATAAAAATTTTGATTAGCACCTTATAGTTTATATGTGTAAATAATATTGATTTTATCCCAGATCTGTATGTTTTTTTTTAAAGATTTGTGCATTACATATTTATATGTAATTTAAACATTGCTACGGAAGGTTTAAAGAATCTAGATAATGTTAGGCAGCATTTGAAATGGTGGGCTTGCATCTGGATTTAATTTTAGATTATATGTTTGGAAGATTAAAAAAATTCTCAAATGCAAAAAAGAGATAAACCAAGATTCAAATGAAAATAAAAAATAAAAAATAATGAGCTTATTTTTATTTTTGAATCGATAAGAGATAAATAGATATATTAATAGTAAAAATGCAAGGAGAATAAAATACTTAAAGTGATTAGAATTTAAATGATTAGGATATAAAAAAATTTTAAAATTTATAAAAATAATTTAAAATAAAATTTAAATTCATAAATTTTTGTGTTTTCTCTAAATGAGGAATTTGGTTCAAATCTAAATCCTTATTAATTCAAATACACCATTAATATATGTTGTAATTTTATCTAAAAGATTTATTATAACTCAGTTTTGATTTTTGAAATGATATTTTAAAATTTTTTAAATAAAGAAATACAAGTTTGCAAGGTAATTAGTTTAGATTTGATACAAGATTGAAGGAGAGAAAATTCAAGGGTGGCATTATCAAAGAATCATATATTGATTATAATAAACCGGAAAACTCGAATTAACATGGAAAATAAATGGAAGAAGACATGTTTAGTGGTTTTTACTTTTTATTGATGGAAGATGAAATGATAAGAAAAATGTTGACATGTAAAAGAGACTAAATTAGAAAGGGTACATGATACAAGATGACATTGAATAGCTGAACAACCAAATAAGTTTACATGAAAGGGATTGTTCAAGTAAGACCAACTTTCATTATGGTGCTAACTACTTGTCAACTCAATATCGAGTTCAACTAATCCACACCCTTTTTGGGCAATGAAGAACAAGAATCCCAATTCCCATTACTAAACAACACTGTTGTGCAATCATGTAAACACCAAAATTGGACCATTTTAAAAAAGCAAATACTCCATCCATTTTTAATTCATAAGACACTTGTTAATAGATTATGTATATTGATAAACTAATTAAATATATTTTACAATTTTATTTTTTAAAAACACAAATATAAATTTTAAAAAATAATCTCTATTTGAAAAATTCTTAGATAGATTAGGTATATTACATTATTTTTATCTGTCCAATCAGAATATCCAATTTAATGTAATAAAATCTATGTGATATGATTTCAATTAATTTTATTCTCATAACAAAATTTATATTTAATTTTTTATCTTTTTTCTGACTCTACTATCATTGATATCATAATTAATTTATATTTAATATTGTCTAAATGTTACATATTTTATTGAATAGACTATAAATAATATGACGCATTCAATCTACTTAAGAATTTATCTTGTCCAAGAATATAATCTTATTTGTAAACATTAGAGAGAGAGAGAGAGAGAGAGAGTAATAAAAGAAGAGAAATATTGAAAGAAGTATAATTAATTAAACTTTATTTTTCTTAAATTGTTTAGATTTTAAGACACGGAATCACTTTAAAAAATGTCATATGAACTAAACGAAAGAAGTGCAACAAAAATAACGCCACAGACAAATAAATTAACCATTATCCCAAAATAATCTTCTTTTTAGTAGTAGTTTGAAACTGCAATCCACTTGACA